ACTTGAGAACGAGTGTGGTAAAAAAATCTGGAAACAAAGTAGCAATCCATACTGACTTCATCTGGACTATAACTGCCAAACATAATTACAAATTCATTACCTACTCCACAATTAGATGAGAGAAACACGGAGAAAATAACGACAAAAAGGCAGATAATACTGTAGAACAAAGAAGAAAATTAAGTATACAATGCTGTGCATAAACAAAGGATATATTGTATCTATGATTATTCCCGAAATGCAGCTGGTACAATAATACTATGACACCTGAAACACTTGATAGACATCAGAATTGACAATTGATAGTTGACGATAGCTCCAGCAATAAACATCTGTACGTACGGCAGAAGTTTGTCTGAAAATTGAGTTCCTTACTATTCATTGTCTGTTTAATTTTACGAACATCAAGGGAAAAGAAAAAAATCCTTTGTTGAATAATTCATTATTTGCTCAGTTTCCAACTCTAAAGTTTGACTTAACATGTAAACTGTGAAATAATCGACAATGTGAATGTACGCTATGTATTACTTTGGTATGCAATAATTGTAATATTTACTTGTTCACAGACCCTGCAAGTTAAGAACTTTATTTTCGGTTTTATCCAACAAATGCGTATGTTTATTGAATCGAAAAAGAATGCAATATATACGAAATGTCATTAAAAGGAACAGTAATTCAGTTATATGTGATTTTGTAACGTAATTACTTCTGCATTAACACATTTCAATAACAGATGTACCAAGTGCAAAATATATGTATGCATTTGCAAACATGTGATACAGAGAAAGTTGAGTTTTTTTTACATGCATGATATGGAATGTATTGTTAAAACAATTATAAAAAGAAATAAATTGTTTCGTCCAAAATCTGTTAAATTATATTGGATTCCAAGTCATGTAGGTATACGAGGAAATGAAAAAGTAGATGCTTTAGCTAAACAATCATTAAATTTTCAAAAACTGACTTATTGTTACCTGCTTGTGATTTTAGACCGGCTATAAATAAAATCGTATCATCTGAATGGAAAGCAAATTGGGACAATGCCGTTTTTAATAAACTTCACGATATAAACCCATCTCTTGATGTGTCACCATCTCTATCTCTGTCAAACCGCCGTGATCAAACAGTTCTTCTTCGATGCCGAATTGGACACACTAAAATTACCCACTCTTATCTCCTCACAAATGACAATGCCCCTTTCTGTGTAGGTTGTAATGAAAATTTTACTGTCAAGCATTTTCTTCTTGAATGTCATGATTTTTCACAGGCCCGTAATAGATTTTATTGTGTAAATTCACTCAAAGAACTCTTTAATACAATTCCATCAAAAAACATAATTGATTATTTAGAAGAGATAAACTTGTATTCTAGAATCTAATTGGCTCATTTCTATTGTCATTTTCAAAGTTTTACATAACATTTTAAGCCTATTATAGCATTCGGCACGATATGGCCAGTTATGTGTTGACGTGCCGTAAAAATCCAAACAAACAAGTTTCGTCCAGCTAAAATTCTTGCAGTAATTTATAGGAAACATTTAACCAGTCTTAAAATGTTTTAATGTATATGTTATTGAAGTCTTCATCAATATTTACGATAAAAATCTTCTTTCCCGTCCTGTGATTATATTCGTCTCAGTGTTTGATTTAGTTTGTATGGTAGACAAGCTTGATACAGATAAACTAGCATGTTTAAGCACTAAAATATCTTCCGAGTATTGCTTCCTGCTTTCGGAACCTTTCGATTTTCTTCCAAGTAGAGATTACCCCTACATGTTATTAGATTCTGTAGCATTATACATAATATATCATCAAGATCAAACATACAGCGCTTAAACTGACAATTATTTTTCAATGAAAATATATAAACAACATAAATTCTTTGATAAGTCCCTTTAAGGCCGAAAATTGTAGCTAAACCGAACGTCAAATTTTTCACAAAATTGTCAATTTTCTTTCCATTTTTTCAAACATTTTTCGGCTTAAAACGATAAATTTTACATCAGCATGAAGAACGAAAATAATTGCAGTTGAATACTGTAGAATTTAAGAAATTTTCATGCCGGTGGCGTTGTGATATCAGTAACAGTTGCCAAATATACGCAACGACGTCATGTTCCACAAAGGGCTTTGGAAGTCAAATTTGACGTCATATGTACATTATTTGGCTTAAACTATTGGCATAAAATTAACAGAATATTATCTGAAATATGGTAAATTTTTTTTACATGCCAATTTTCAAGACGATCGCAAAGTGTCGCACTCTACCTAAACTGTAATTACCCGCGCATATAGTCAAGTCAAGTCAATTTGTTTATTTAAGTCACACTTTTGTACATACATTAACAAATATAACAGAGTTTTAAAAGAAATACGTGTACAAAACCACTCTAAAAGAGTTATGAGAGACTAAGAACATGATCATAAATAAAAACCCATTTAAAAACAATATTAAGATATTGAAATATATATTATTTGTAATAAACGCGAGAAGTCTATACCACTAACTGTAATTGACCAGTTCAAGTAAACATAAAACCTTATCAATTGTTATCAACAGTCATCCCATTAGCTGTAAATGACTGTTATATTCGATTAATTATAAGCGTATTTATTTATTGTAAAACGTTTTTCATATTTATTTTATATACTATTAAAAACAGTTTACACAAATAGTAGTTATCCAAAGGTTGCAAATACTTTCAACTATATATACTATTCCTATGACTGATAGTACATTTTATGTTTTCTCTGAAATAAAATTGATCAAACATTCTTATCAGAAAGGACTATTTTAGGATCACCTAAATTATCACCTAGATCTTGCTGAATATGATGTATGTTCATTGACATATCTTATTTCATCGGGACGATCGGTTCAAAAGACGTTAAATGAAGCAGTAAAGCTTTACTACTAGCTGGCGCCAGTGTGGTAAATGTAAGACAATAAAATCAAAAGATAAATATGATTTATTCCCGATCTATTGATACATGCATCTATTTTAATTTAAAGAGTTAGTACGGAGTAAAGTTTACGTATGTTAATATGTTAAGAAAACAAAGTCTTTTGCTCTAAATTTGTTAAATGTGTTATTTGGTACTATAATTCAATTTTGATTTCAATTTACCTTTTATAAATGCAATCCGTCCTCAAAGAAACAGTTTAGATAAATACAACACAACAACAGACTATAAGTTTTGAAAATGTTGTCTTTGTCAACAATCATTAATGGAGTATAACTAAATAGTGACGTGCCTAACAAGCTTGTCCTCATCCATTTAGAAAGTGTTTGGTTTTTTATTTCATTGCTAATGCCGTAACATACAACGAAATCAATATAATTTTAATTCTCGCATTTGAAATAATAAATTACAACAGTGTTTGAATTTGAATTTTCATTATCAAACATAAATTTATGCATTCTTTGACACATTCCACCATGGATGTATTGTGAAAAGCAATTATATGTAATGTTGTAACAAATATGCAGCTGCAAAGAGTGAGAGAAACTTGGTACACTTTAGTGATTATGAAGTTGATGATCGAAATCAATGTATAATGCTTGCATAATACCTAATATAGAAAATAGCTTTAAAACAATTCAATTTCGATTTAGTTTAGCCTGAGGACAGTCGTTAATTTATTTTGATTGCCATTATACGTTGTGTTTACGTCTATAGCTTTTGCTTTTTGTTCATTATAACCAGCATTTATTTTATTATTGCAAGAGTTTTAATATTTTTCAGTTATATGTCTTCCGTACAAGTTGATTAAAATTCATGGGAAAAGAAATATTTGTTTACTATAGTTTACAAGTGTTTGATTTCAAATGATTCGGTTATTGTAGTATAAGAATAATAGTTCATGATTGAAGAACAAATCATTTTAGATTGAATTGTTATTTTGTCAGGAATGAACTGTTGTGCTTCAATGTATCGAATAGCTTTAATCATTAGTTGCATTTTATAACCTTTGCTACGGTGCAAGGACTGTAGTATTCATTGCCCACTGCCTTTTATAAACAGGTTCAATAAAATCGAGCCTGCAACATATTTAATTTTGCCGGGTTAGTGTTTGCCTCTAAATGAATCAAAATATTTCACGTAAAGAGGCAACATAGTTTGGCACATTCAGGATTCCTTTTGAATTTTGAATGTACATATAGTATACAGTTTCAATCGAATGATTTATGTAAATATACATATTATCTGGTATTAATTTCATACGAGTCAGAAAATATCCGGACTTTTGACTCGTTCTCGAAAACCATTCAACATTTAAAAAAAAATCTTTCTACTCTTTTTCAAAATATTCTCCACCTACGTCTACGCACTTTTGCCATCTTCGTGGGAGCTTTTGTATTCCCGCTTTGAACCATGGCGTTTGACCTATGTTTTAGGTACTGTGTAACAGCAGTTATCAAGGCCTCCCGGTCTTATATTTCTTTCCAGCAAGCAATTTTTTCAGTCCTGGAATCAAATAAAAGTCACAGGGGACGAGGTCTGGGCTATAAGGAGGGTGAGACAACAATTTCCATTTGTAAGAGTTGATAACCTCCGCTGTAGCTGCGGCGGTATGGGAGGGGCGTTATCGTAAAGAAGGAGGACATTTTTCTGTGCTAACCTGTCAGCTTTTCTTTGAGATTTTTCAGAATTACTTCAGAATAGTACTTGGCGGTGACAGTTTGACCTTTTAGCATGAAATGAGTAAGTATCATTCCTCGTGAATCCCAAAAGGCAACAAGCATGACTTGTCCAGCCGAAGGAGACAGCTTAAACTTTTTAGGAGGTGGGAAACCAGCTCGTTTCCACTGCTTTGACTGAGCTTTTGTCTTAGGTTCGGAATAATGAACCCACATCTCATCTCCAGTGATAATGCGGTTCAAAAACTTATCTCCTTTACGATTAAAACGACTTAAATGTTCTTTTGCATTGGTTACTCTGGTTGCCTTTTGATCTGCGGACAGCTGTCTAGGCACTCACCTGGCACTTACCTTGCTCATGCCTAGGTATTCGTGTAAAATCTTGTGTGCTGATGCCTTACCGATGCTAAACTTGTTGGCTACCTCCTCCAAAGTTACTCGACGATTTTTGTTGACAAAAGCTTTAACATTTGCTACCATTGTTGGGGTCACCGCCTCAGCTGGCCGCCCAGTCCTAGGCCTGTCACAAACACTTGTTCTGCCTTCACGAAACTGAGAAACCCAGTTGTAGAAGGTTGAACGTGATACACATTTATCAGAAAATCTTTTTTAAGCCTCTGAAAGATGTGGCAGGGCTTTTCACCTTCTGCAACCAGAAACTTTATTACAGAGCGTTGTTCCTCTAACAAAGAGGCAATGATAGACGAAACACCTATCATTTATCAGAGGGCAAAATACTGTGTATACACAACTATCATAGAAAATAAACTGACCACGTTATTGGCGAATGAATGTAGTTTTCACCAATATATAATGTGTGTATATAGCTGCACGTGGAAAGAGAGGAGCATGAAAAGTCCGGGTATTTTCTGACCGTCCCTCGTATATTCAGGGAGAAGAGTATTTAGGGTCAGTTAAATACTTAAAAGGCCTTTATGTAATTTACTCTCAGAGAATTTTATAAGTACAGTTTAATTCAGAAAATAACTAATAAATAAATCAGTGGGCCCATTGAATGCCAGTATCTGTAGCTTAGCCAAGATTTTTATTGTCCAATAATAATGGATCAGAAGTGTTTTGTCTGCAGAAATGGATAGTTTATCAAAGTACAAAATTAAATATACAGACATAAAATATTAAGAGTGAAACCCAAAGACATGGTCATTTTTGAGCATGTGTAGACTCTTTTCCATGATCTTACGTAATTAGCAGACAGCTTTCTGCCTCCAGAGATAACCTGTGGTCAGTAATGATATGCAGCGTTTTATTTTTAGTAATTTTGAAAGGGGTCTATTGACAACTTGCTACATTTTTAAAGCGCAAAATGTTGACCAGCGTAAAATTTCAACTTCTTAATTTAGCTGTTAGGAAGTATTGAAATTAAAGAAGCTTGGCTTTGAAGTTAAAAAACATTATTTCATCTGTTACAAGCAAAGATCATCATACTGATTTTAAAGTGTAGTCTCACAACTTTAATTGCTGTTCGTACAAAAATGACACGCCTCTCATATAGTGAAAAATCAAAATTTTTGAGAGAATTTAAATTCAAACTTTGAGAAGTTCAGAAATTACTGCACCTCTAAAATTAATGTTTTGTACATAAACATTAAAGAAAAAAATATTTAGATGCGTCTATCCAAAATATAATGAAATGAAATTAATGTAGTTCTTTATCTTTGTATCTTAAAAGCATTTTAAATATGGCTGTAATTTATAACGTCATAGATCCTTTACAGTGATTGAAACACACACACAAATATCTTCCGACATTTAGTCTGTTTTATATGGAAATAAATAAAGTGAAATTACTCTTGTCAGTTTGATATAATTCAAGGATATTCAGTAATAGTATAATCGTATTCAATACCTTAATACCACACCAAATGTTGATGAGATGTGAAGGAAGAATAGGAACTTTGTGTAGAAACTATTAAAAGAAGTCCATCAAAAGGACTTCTTGATGGTAGACATGCAGATATATGTCATACTTGTAAATGTGCTAAAACAAAGTTCGTAAGTCGTATCTTATTGAAACAGACATATAAATGCAATTTGTCACTGGTATGTATGAAATTATGAAGATATTTTTATAACTGGTTTCATTATTTTACGCCAATTAGCAAAGTGTGACAATAAGATTTCGGCCTCCAAAAGTTTTCGTCAGCCATGCATTGGTATGCGATTGACAATTTTCAAGACGTTATGTACGTTATATTTTACAATACCCGTGTAATTATTAACCATATTCCCTTTTCTAGAGGCCGTTATGTCACATTAAAATATCATACAGATGTCGTGTTAAGAGAAATTGAAAACCACTTCAATAAAATTCGTCCTTCAACTAGACTAAGTATGAAAACCCTGTATTTTCGGCAAGACAAAGCTCATGCAATCAAAAGAACAGCTGTTAAATTATTTTTTCATTTCTTTTTATTTATCTATTTTTTATTTTTTGCTGTTCTATGTTGTTAAATTTAATGACTATATTGCATTGCATGTTGAGCCACCTTAGTTATATCGGAAGGAAAAAGCTTTTTGAGTCAATGACTGGTGATATTAATTTCTTTGATTATTGACTTTTAAAAGACTAGAATTTCCATGTCTGAAATATCTAATGGATACATAATAATGAGAAGAAATTGTCATGTCAATAAGTCTATATTTTGTGTATTGCGTTTTTAAAGGATGTACAATGTAACTAAGAAATATATTTTGTCTTTAGAAATGCAACGTCTGCAATTCTGTGCAAGATCTTAATAATTTTCTAGGTAGAGCTTTAATCATGAAATTAAGATATTGCAGTCTACTTTCCAGATTATCAGACAATTTCAACCAATGAAATTACTGTACTCATTTATTTTTACAAATCAAAAGGATGGACCAGTCTTTGAGACATTACGAGAAATTGTGATCCATATTTTGTTATGCACAATTGTCAATGTTGTACTTATTCCAGAGATAGAAAATAATAGTAAATGTCAATGTTGAATTTTAAAGACATAGTAATGCAGAAACACATTATTATATGACAATTGTGAAATAGAGATAAACAACAGAGATTAACAATTACAAAATGAACGAAGACGTATAATTGAAGATAGTACTATCACGCAATATAACTTTCAATCATTATCTTGAATATATTCCTTTCTACCTACTAATAATGTGATTCATCCTCAATTTCAGTTTCGTGCAATTAAAAAGGAGTTATTGTTTTAAATCCTATATGACTTGCTTTTTACTCGATGGTTATTTGTTGCTGGGTCGTACGGGGGTTACGTTCATTGAATGCCGCCCTTCCTTGATGATCCTTTTTATATTTGTCGGAAATTAAAATACATAAATTACGGATTACCTTGAAATAAGTTTGTTGTTTTTATACATTTTCCAACCAATGTAATTGAATGTTGATACTACATTTAATTGTAATATTCCTTTCCTGTTATGCTTCTTTTTTATCATGCAAAAGAAGCCATCTTACAAATACTAATATGGAGACTGTTGAATGCAGCAATCATAAACAAACGAAATGAAATTGAAATAAGCTAGCCACTCACTGTACATAGGAGCATGATATGCAGTATAAGTTTAAATTGTTTTAACGTGACGTAATAAAATTTGAAGTATAACGAAAAGTACGATACTTAAAGTGTTATCATTTTTGTTTATTACCTTAGCTTTAGTAGGGTATGGAAATATTACAGGAAAATACAAAAATGTGCAGCGAAAATAATATACGTCATACTTTAAGAGTTTTAAACTTGTTTAGACAGGACTTTGTTTTCTTTCTGTAAATATGACAACGATGACATTCTAACTTCATGATATGTTGGTAATATGATAAATGATAAAAATGATTAAATACCGAAATTTGTAGACTTTATATTTCATCCATTTAGGATTGGGGGAGTTATTCCTGGAAATCTTTGACTTTGTTGACATATTGCAAGATACGTGTTTTCAAAATGAACCAATTTACTCCAACTTTGTACTCTTGTGGTTTCTAATTATCATGATAAACGGACCGTCTGTACTTCTTTCTGCAACGTTGCAATTTTCAATATAAATATGACTGTAACTAAGCCATTTCCTCTAAACATTCGAGCGTTGCTTTTCCTTGTTGGCAGTATACTGTTCATGGACCATTTGACTAGTCAAAATAAGAATAATGCATTATTATACTTCTAGAACTAACTCCTGAATTTATGTATGTATTTTCTATCGTTACCAATCTTGAGCAGTAATTATTTGCAATAAAGTGTGGTTTTCTGGAATTGCGATCTCTGAGCCTTGTCGGCAATATGTGTAACCTAATTATCTTTTCATTCGCTAGAAATACGTGCAAGTAATGATATATGTGCACTTTAATATCTGTCTGGCATATCGGAGAAACTTTATGTTTATATCTACTAAAACCTTTGGAATAAGAGAGGACGGCATGGTTGTTTCAAATAATTTGTAAATGTACATTATTCCTTCACGCAAAATAATAATTAATTACTTATCCATTAAAGCCATCTCATGAAAGTTTATTCTTAATAAAATCACTTGAAAAATTTGATGAATCGGTTGTTTTCCCGTTCTTATCATAAAATGTTAGATATTTAATTGTTTTAAAGAAATACTTACATGCACCTAACATGTATTCAATAATTTTGAATATTCGTAAAACATAATGAATAGAAAAATATTTTTTAAGAACAATTTTCTTTTGACAAGGAGACTTCATTTCATATTCCAACATTAACAGTCCATTCATATTTTTAAAGTGCGTGATAAAAACTGTAGCAGACGGAACGTTTAACGACAAAAAAATCATTGTAACTGAATACTTATAATTAAAAGAATCTTGAACCAGTGGGCACTTCATGAATAAACTGAACCAGTCAAAGAAAGCCCTCAAATGCAATATTAAAATTAGTGAACAATTAGTTTCATTATATTATAAATCCGAATCTATTAGATTCAGGTCAAGTCGTTTGCAGATGAAATTGAATACAATCGTTTCATCTCAGCAATTTTCCATCGGTATGATCAACGAGTATTTGGTTTCTGTCTCCGCAGATAATCTTTTATTGGCATCCATCGAAATAAAACAAGCAAACGCCGACAAAATACCATCGTTCTGATCTGTTTGTCTTAATATTGCTTTGTTTCAGTTAATATTACTAAGGAATCATTATGTTATAAAATATGTATGGATGCGTTAGAAATACATTTAATCATTTTTAGCCATAAAATAGATTAACTGAAAACCTTAAGATTACGATATCCGGCATGATATATGATTTAACATTAAATATGTATTACGCGGAGTGCATTCATAAAATCATTCATTTTTGATGTCTGTAATTTTGTTTAATTCCGATATTAATTATTCACAATTTAAATACACATGTTTGGTGCCAAAACAAAAACAAGTTGTGTATTAGAAGGCACAATTTTGCTTACATACAGTAAATGACTTTTTTATGTCATATTTGTTATGTTATGTTATGACTTTAAAAAAATCAGACATTGACATTTCCAAAATGTATTCCTGTTGATAAGTTAATTGTGTTTACTATTTTATTTATAAAATATTGTTGAAAGTTTGATTAGTCATTTCTCAACGTCAATACAATGATTGCAAATC